GGGTGGGGGGGGGGGGGGGGGGGGGGACACATATAAATATTATGTCAGTTGTGGCATCATGATGATATGTCAGTGAGTAGATTAGTGATGCGTGAGGAGACAGAAGGGGTGAGCTGAGGAGTGGAGAGATAGATTTTGGTGGCATCAGCATAGAGATGGTATTGGAAGCCATGGGATGTTATCAACTCATCCAGGGAGGAGGTGAAGATAGAGAAAAGAAGGGGCCCAAGGACAAAGTCTTGGGGGACCCCCTATGAAAAGAGGAAGAGGAGGTAGAGCTTTGGTGACATTGAAGCTGTGCTGAGATAGGTAGGAGGGGAACTATGAGAGAGCAGAGACTTGGAGGCCAAGGGATTGGATGTTATTAAGTAGGTGCAGGTGGTCAATGTGTCAAAGATGTAACTACATATTGATTTCCATCTCCATATGACACGACACAAGCCAGACAGTTGGGCCGTGCATAGTAATATGTGAAGAGGTAAAAAAAACAGACAGAACATGACACAGAAATTCTACTTTGTAAAATAAAAAGGGAGAAAAGACAGAAATAAACGTTACCATTTGGTCAGTATGGTTTATCCTGTTGGTGGGGAGAGCACTGAGAAAGCTCTGTAACCACCGTGTGATGAACCCCCCCCCCCTCGACTAATTACAATGATCACTTTTCCTGCTTCTCAATTATTGAGGAAAGATGTGTGACAGACGTATCCCCTTAGAGTAAACTAAATGTAAGATTGTAGTCCATCATGAGAGTGAGCTTGGAGCGGTAAGTACCTTATGATACACACAGGGAATATGGGGAACAAAATAAACCGTGCTTAAGAAGGCAGGACCATATTAGTACCAATTCGGAGATGATTTGAGGATCTAAAGCCGAGTGATACACAAAAAGATAAATTGTTGTTAATAGTTAAGGAACTTGAATGCAGTTTTAAGATAAAAGCTCCTGTGTTTAGTGTCACTATAAGCCAGGTCAGAAAAATGTGCTCATAACTTTGTGTCATTGAACTCTTGTTATCTCGACCTATAAGAACAAAATATCCTGTATGAACTCTAGTTACTTTGACCTACAAATCTAAATGTTCTACGTGAACTATAGTTACCTCAATCTACAAAGCTAAATTTTGTAAATGAACTTCAGTTACCTCCATCTACAAAGCAAAATATTCTAAAAGAACACTAGTTATCTCCATCTGCAAAACATAAATGTTCTACATGGACTCTTGTTACATTGACCTACAAAGCTAAAAGTTCTACATGTTGCCTATTCCTACAATACATCATACCAGGGGTCAAAACTTCAAGTCCTGAGCTACTTCTCAGGCCTTAAGAGTTACTTGCCACCAGTTGCCAACCTAACCCCTACCCTGCCCCAGACTTTACTCCGCCCCTAAACACACCCTCTTAAATTATCTTATAAATGGCACTGTTACATGTTTTATGCAGAATAAAGTTACAAAAATAAATATTAACAACAACTTTAACAAAACTAATATAAAGCACCCTGCCCCTACATAGTAAATAATACACTCCCCCCTGTTCCCTCCCCTTCCACACATAAAATTATAACCCCCCTGTTCCCTACCCCCACGCATAAAATAATAACCCCCTATTCCCTGCCCCCCACATAAAATAATCCCCCCCCCTGTTCCCTCCCCTTCCACACATAAAATTATAACCCCCCTGTTCCCTACCCCCACGCATAAAATAATAACCCCCTATTCCCTGCCCCCCACATAAAATAATCCCCCCCCCTGTTCCCTCCCCTTCCACACATAAAATTATAACCCCCCTGTTCCCTACCCCCACGCATAAAATAATAACCCCCTATTCCCTGCCCCCCACATAAAATAATCCCCCCCCCTGTTCCCTCCCCTTCCACACATAAAATTATAACCCCCCTGTTCCCTACCCCCACACATAAAATAAAACAATGAAGCCCCCTCACCTGCTTTTCTTTCTGCAGGGAGGAGGCGAGCAGGCAGATCCCTGGTGATCTAGTGGTTATTAGTAAGGTCTGCTGCAGACCTTATGACGAGATGGTCATCAGTTTATGGGTTATATGTGTATTGGTTTATGTGTAATTATGTTATACTGTGTAACCTGTTTCTCAAAAGACTGTCAGCACCCCCCCTCGTTAGCTCCCTTTGTACTCCAAGGAGCTCAGGATGATGACATTCTCCTGCGTCAGGCCACACTCCTGCTATGGTTGTCTGGAGCTCTTTTGCAGGTGGACCCCTGCTGGGTTGTGCAGTCAGAATGTTGGGGGAGGGCAGGGTGTCGGGGAGGGCAGGGTGGATGTGATGGGATTATAGGTTTATCTGATCACTTTCTGTATAAAAGGTTGCACAGTTTCTCAATAAATCAGAGTTTGTTTCACCCTACACTCGGTCCCGACTAATGACTGGGGAAACTGGGAGATAAAGATCAGCAGGTTGCAATATCTTCTGAGCAAGGATGAATACAGCGGCGGACAGACTCATCCTGAGTACTGGGGTCCTTCACATTGGTGCCAAGCGGTGGGATGCTCTTCCTTGCCTAAGGAGACATTCAAACCACGCCACAGTTGCCTGCGGCCATGGAAGCGCTGACCCAGTTAGACAATCCTGGTTCTGCCCAGGATATGCTGGGAAGGAGAGATGCTTTGTGCCGGGAGGCCAGGAGGAAGACTCTTCAATTGGAGCAGCACTATTGTGGCAAGGTCCTCCCTACATCCAAGGAACGATACTGGCAACAATGGGACTTGCATGTGCCTTTGCTGGGAGAGCAGCCCCGGGAGGAATGGCTGTCGGAGCTGGATGGGCTGCTCCAAACGGAACTGATGCTGGATGAAGGGTATCTGGCGCTGCAGTGGTATGCCACCCAATTGTAACCATGGGTGCAGAACAATGATCCCACGGAGAGCTATGACTTCGGCGGCCCAATACTTATATTTGAGGCGCTCCAGGCACTCCACAATTTGGGAGTGCACAGGAGTGAAGATGGGAGGACATACGTGATTTTAGGGAGTTGGAATTCCTCAGTGAGCTTGGATTGAGGACTGATTTGGACTTTTTAATTACTCAACAATGGGAGCAGGAAAAGGCATACAAAAGACTGTTTGACACTGCTCAACAGCATGCCCCAGCGACCACAGATGGCATGGAGCTACTAACCTCAGCAGAAGAGCTGGCAACAGGGCAAAGTACTGTTAGCCTCTGCCCTGCACCCATAGCCCTCCTGAAGCTCCTGGGAGAGATGGCGGCCAACCCCATTTCCTGGTCACCAGCTTCAGAGATGGGGACCTTATAGATTTGAATGCAGAGGAACCGCTGTGCCATTTACTCCCAGCTGAAGAGCTGGCAACAGGGTTCCAGGGAGAGGAGGCAGATGGTCACTCCCCCCAGCGGCTGAGTGAGGTCCGGGGGGAGCAGTTAGCCGACCTCTTTCCCCAGTGGCAGACGAAGTTCCAGGGAGAAGAGGTAGCTGACCTCCCTTCACAGCAGCAGATCAGCAGTCCAGGAGAGGAGGTGGTCTTCCTCCCTCCCCAGCAGCAAATTGGGATACAGGGAGAAGAGGTTGTCATCCTTCCTCCCCAGCAGCAGTTTGGAATCCAGGTAGAGGAGGAAGCCATCCTCCCACCCCAACATCAAGCCAGAAATGAGGATGTGGTTTCCTCCGCAGAAGTTCTGGAAGCAGGGCAGAGCACCACTGGCCTATGTCCCACACTGTTCTCTGTTCCAACCTTCATGGGAGAACAGGAAGCCGGCCTCTCTTCCAGCAGGTGGCTTTGGGGTCCGGGGATAACATACCGTCTTTACTTCTCCCCAGAGGCAGCATGTTTTTCAGAAATGTGCAGGTGACATATCTCCCCAGCAGCAGAGGCAGGGGATCCCATGGAGGAAATATGGGGATTTATACTGCCTGACTAACGCAGTTCCAGGCCAGTTGGGGGATTGGAACCTGGTTAGTCTACCATTTGGGGGGGAGAAATATCACAGAACCCACCATGACCTGGGCTTCTGGAGGGACCTGGTGGCCAGCCTCATTCCCAGCGAC